AATTAGCAAATCGTCATAAGAATTACACAACTACAGTGCATCTACCTCAATCCAAAAAAGTAAAAAAAACAAAACAACCCGCTGGACTTTGTTTCCAAGTTTGAAGACGTTTCTTAATTAAAAATGTCAGAAATAGTGTTGAGTTCCAGGTTTTATCCAGCAGCCCAACAAAGCCTTGCTTCTGTTTAGAAAACATGCAGATTGAAACGGATGAACGGGTCCACCCCTTTGGAATGGGGGTTGTTAGGTTTATTCAATGATGATTATAAAATCAATGTATGCATGCTTATGAAACATTTGTGCAAGAGGATGCTCCACTGTGTCTTGTGATTCAGCCAGGAGACCATCCTGCCTTGTCATTCTGGTGGAGCATCCTGTCTTTATGAACTGATCAATTGTTCTGTCAGAAAAAAATACTGTTTTGTAACCATGTGTTATGTTCTGTTAATAAAAGACGGCTGCAGGAGAGGATTCGGGGAAAGAAAGCTTGAAGTTGGGTTGGGCTTTTTCTTTCCACTCCTGCAGAAGTTGCTTGAATCTCTTTCCTGTGTAGACTAAATTTCTCTTTTACAAACCTACATTTTTTAACCTAACAGGGGTGGTTTGGCTTCTTTTGCTAGCCTGCAATGCCCCATACCTGTCTATGTCTCTGAAAGGGGGGTCGTTAGAGGGAATTGTTGGCCTTGTTGAACAGTTGAGGTCTTCTGCTCTCTTGTAAAGGGGATGGGGTTGCGATGATAGCAGGAAAGAATCAACTCTAACGCTGCATTGTAGGTTTTCGAAAGCTGAAATCTGAATCAACCCCCTCTGTTTAGGGTTTTTTTTTTTTTTTTTTTTTTTTCTCAACATAGATGACTTCCTTCACTCCCCTTAAAGTTTTTTTTTTTTACTTTTTTAGAATGACATTGACCTGGATGACTGAGAATCTTCAGCAGCTTTTGTATCTACCTCAACCACGCTGGCATCCAATTGGCGGGCGACACATTAAACAAGTGGACAGCATGTCCACTTGTTTAAAGCATGTCTTTTATTTCAGTACCGTAAAATCAAACTATAAAACTGCAGTTTTGGACATTTGGAAAGGAAGGGAAAGTTGTCCTCAGCACCACAGGTCCTCTACCATACATAATAATGGGGAATGAGAACCCACCTGAGTTCTTTAAATCTCTGCATAAAGGAAACACTTTTATATTAGCGATGTTGGGACAGAGACCTCAATAATCATCACTTCGAAGCAGTCCTTTCAAAGTGTTCTTTAGATTTCCGTTCCCTCCTCTTTCAGCCTTTAGTGATCAGACAAAAGCCAAACAAAATGATACCTTTGGTCCCTAACTGGTCTTAAAACAAAGGCAGCCAGGAGATTATGAATTGTAATCGGTTCAGCTTTTGCCCCGGCGGACTCTGTTCAGAACAAACCTACATTTTTTTAAAGCATTTCCACCCATATTAAGATCAATAAACATACTTTTAGACCATCTAAACTTTCTTTAAGGGAGCAGAAGTATCTGAGGAATAACAATGGTATTTTGATCTCCCCATCACAGCTTCCTCCAGTATTATTGGCTGATTGACGGTATTCTATCCGATCAGCATAGCTATAGTCCATAGGCAGGTGCAAGACGTCAGATTTGCGTTTATCCCTTATGTTCTGTACGAAAAATAGACTTTACACTACCTCAAATGTATGTGTATCCCTTTAGTCATGTACAAAAAATAACTATTTAAGGTCAGATCGCCATACAAAAACAAGGGAAGCACCAATCTGATATTTTTATCAGTATCGATCCAGATATAAGGAGATAGATCGGTATCAGTGACAATTGACTCGATATAGGGGCCGATCTTTTCATTCTAACTCTATGCTATGCTCTGCCGTCATGCGGCAGCACAACAACACAACACGGCCATATTGTTTATGATGGAGCGAGCGAAAGGATCTGCGGTGTGGAGGTTTTTCACGCTCTCTCATCCTACTAGCCCAATCTTCAAACTATAACACCACCAACTTAATGAAACACCTCCAGAAGTTTCATAACAAGGAAGATGCTGAGATTATCGGACTCGGCAAACAAAAAGGAAGCAGCTAACTTCTTTGGAGGCAAAGGAAGGAAGTTAAATTTTTCCATGTAACAGTATCCAGTAGGGGTGGAATGGTTCACAAAATCCAAGGTTAGGTTCGATTCACGGTTTCGTGGTCACGGTTTTTGGTTCGGTATATGTTGATTGTTAGCCCAAAATCCCATAAAAATTTATGAAATTAATGGAAAAAATCCCCAAAAATTAATGAATTGTAATTATTTTTAATGATCCGCGGAAACCCTGGATCATTTCCGCATGTTTTCGTGCTTTGAATTTAATCATCTGGCGCATGCCCTCTACGATCTCCAAGGAACTCAGAGCGGAGCGGACGGGAGCCACAGCGGAGGCTGTAGGCTTTGCTTTGAGCAGCCGGTCTGGAGCGAAGCCGGGCGGAGCGCTGACGGAGTATGTGGGATTTCGGGGTTAGCCTGACATGTTGGTCGTGTTGCTGTTAGCATAAACAAAACGTGTTGCACAATGCTTGCACACTGTTGCACTTTTATCCACAACTTTCTTTCCGCCGTCATCGTAGGTCACTCTAAATGCAAAGTGGTCCCATACAGCAGACCTATAAAGTGCTGCTGGCGCGTCTTCCAACTCCTGTTCTTTCCCTCTCGCCATACCCACACAATTCTCCACAGTATATAATAATTTAGTGCTGTTTCTGGTATTGGTATCGGATCGGTATCGGCCGACCTTAAACTTCAAATATCGGCATCGTATCGGAGGTGAAAAAAGTGGATCGGTGCATCCCTAACAAAAACACCAAAAAGTAAGTTAATTGTTTTTTTGGACGTGAATAAAGGGATACACACCCATTGAGGTAGTTTAAAGTCTATTTTTCGTACAAAACTAAAGGGATAAATGGGTATTAACAATTGGTATGCTCATCTGACAGAACGACTCTTAATACTTTCTTTAATATATATTGAAAAAAAATATGTTTTTATACCTGCTGCAGTTTTCACAGTTGATGTTTTCTGTGCAAATGATACAATGGTTTGCTTTCACTCTTATTTAATTATGAAACATCCGCAAAGGTACAAAACTTAATGTAAAAATAAAATAAAGGAAGTGAAACTGTTCCTGAACAAATAGTTGTATTTCCTGCCCGGTTGGATTTTCTTTAGGATTGTTGTTAAACTCTATTGTGTTTTTCTCTCAAAACAAATCAGATTAGCATCAACAAACAGACAAAACAGAGACAAGCCTAAAAATAGAGAAACAACTTTGTTTCTCAGCCAAAAAGAGTGGAAGGGGGGATGGAAATGTGAACATTAACGCACTGCTGCTGTTCTATAAAAAATAACCGGAGGGAGTTCGTTAAACCTCCAGAAACTTATTTCAGAAGTTTCTAAAAAACATAAACATCAGCCAGCCTTTAGTTTCCACTTAAGGCATAAAAATATGATGTCTTCCTTAAGTGATGTAACCGTGAAGCTGATAAATAAATCCCTTTTGCTGATGAGCCGACATTCTGAGAACAAAACTAAATTCCTCCCAGAAGTAAAGCTGCTGAGAGTGAAGAAAGAAACAAGTTCAATCTGTTTGCTTTAAAGAAACACCTTCACTCTTAATCGCTGAAATTCTTCCCATTTCAGGGTCATTTTTTATGCCTTTACATTTTTTGTGTTATGCAAGTGGGCTCTGGCTTTTTAAAGGCATTTTATGTAGTTGAAAAGCTGCTGTTAAGCATGCACTTATGAGATATGGATGAGCAAAGAACAAACGAATGTTTAAGAACAGAATCAAACTACAATCTAAAGCTTTTTTATTTTTTTTTCTGCAGGGCGGGCGGTGAGGAGCAGTTTGGGCTCGCAGAGGCAGACATTCTCATAGAGATTAATTTCCCCCTCACTCTGCAGCTCAGAAATAAAAACGGTGGCTTCCCTGAAAAGGAGGAAGCGGCTCCCAATTCGGCACGGTAAATGAGTAGCTTTGAAGTCCGACGTATAAAACAGGGTTTACGTGAATAAATAAGCCGCCTGCCGTAGAGCAGCGACGGCTGTAATGAAGTCACACCACAAAGGTTGAAACAAATGATCTTGCAAACAGCACAGAGCTAAATAACGCCACCTGAACGCAGCATTTCACAATCCTGGGAAAGACTGGGAGCCAAACGTCACTGATGTAGAGGAAAAACAACGGGGGCCTTATTCTGACGCCAAATCATTCATCACCATGACTGTTCATATAGCACAAAGCCTCCCTTTGATTCCAGCTCTATAAATTAATAATAGGATCCTTTTCTTCTCCCAATATCTGAGTTTGCTTTGTGCTTTAATGTCCATTAGAGTAAAAATACAAAATATATTAGAAAATTATTTGAAATAAACGTTAAAAACCTCGGGATGGGGTTTGATAGCAGAAGTGTTGAAATCCAGTGTCATCTCTGTATCTAAACGTTCTAATAAACATAAGAAATCCTCCATGTTTTATTTTTTTAAGTGGTTTTACTCTTTGGATTTCCTTCATTTTCTGCTACATCTGTGTCCTTAAGACATAATCAAGAAAATACCTTTATTCCTCCTCCCTGATGTGTCGTCATAGATAAAAAAAAAAAAGTATATTTTCTGTTGAGTGCCGTAATTAATTAAAAGCCTTGAAATGCAAATAAAAAAGTGTTTTGTTTTTTTTCAAAAATCAGCAGAAACGTAATTTTATAAGAACTTAGATTTCTTTTGGGCAGCTTTTTAAAGTTGAATTTCTTGAAAATCCAAACATGGCAAAAAAATAAAAAGCAGAGTTAAACTGTAGACCTTGAATAATAAATGCAAGTTTTATTAAATTGTATTTTCATTTAATTTAGAAGATAATCCAATAAATGTGAACAAAAGATTCAGCTAACCCGATTCGTTTGTGTTTAAAGTTATTTTAAAAATGTCAAAGAGTATTTTTTTTCAATCCATTCTTGTAAATAGTTAAAGAATCAGAATGATTAAGAATGCATAGTATAGCATAAAGATGCAGCATTTTAGAGCTGATGCAAAACGAAGTTCCCATTAAAATGTTAACTAAATGAACATGGATAAAACATAGAAAAATTTAAGGGAGGGTTCAGGCCAAATATTAGAAGCTGTTCTTGTTTTGTTTTTGGGTTTCTAACGTTGTAAAATAGATGTCTAGAGATTGGTTTACCAGATTAGAACAGAAATGTTATGGTAGCCCATCCCGAGCTCTGCCTGCCTGTCGCCTCTCTGCCTTCCTGCTCTGCCCGTTTCCCCCTGATGCGTTCATGTCATGGAGGGAGAACCGAAACGTGGGACCTCAGTGCTGCCATCCTGCGTCAGTCTTTGCCTGCAGGACCCTGACAGCCACAGCTTGGCTCCACCGGTTGGAAGACCTCTCAAACCGTCTCTATAACCGTCGGACAGCAGCTTATCGGTACGGTGGCTCAGGCTGCTGTGGGTTCGGTCTGTAAAGCTGCTGCACTCGGACCGGACGCCCGTTAGCCGGCCAGCCGCCCGACAGTTGTCCGATCACCCTGAGGCCGACTGGCTGGCCGTGACCTGGAAGCGGGCTGCTGGGGCTGAGGATGTGGGTCTGACCCACTTGGGGCTCAGAGGAGGAGGTACTGCTTTGATGTCCTGGAGCCGAGGCAGGAGGGGAAACGGGGTAATGAGGGACGAGGATGGCCGGCGTTAGGCCGTATCGTACTTGGAACACCCTGAGAGGTCCTTGTGCTACAAAGCCGTTAGGCCGCTTGGGCTCCTGGTGCTGCTCGGAGTCCCTCTTCACCTCGGTGACCCGGTTCTCCTCAGCTTGTTTGCTCTTTTTAGGCTGCTTCTTGGCTTGAATGACCTCCTGCATTTTCTCTGCTTGAGCCCGTCGGATGTGGTAAGTTTTCCTGGAGCTTTGGAAAGAGTCCAGGAACTCATCCAGGCTTAGGTTCCCTTCCATGAATTTATCCAGCAGCTCCTGTGAAACAGAACACACAAATAAGTCAGCATTAGTGGACCAGCTGCAAGAAATCACTCCGACTAAAAAGGTAGATTTTAATCAGCAAAAACCTTCATCAAGACCTTCCCTGTAGTAAACACACAGCCAGACAGGTGAGCCCTTTACAGTTGCCTTTTGTATCTATGCTTCTTTTTCTATGTCTGCTTCTGTCTCCTTGAACCCCAGTGGGCCTCAGCAGATGGCCGCTCACACTGAGCCTGGTTCTGCTGGAGGTTTCTTCCTGTTAAAAGGGAGTTTTTCCTCTCCACTGTCGCTACAAGCATGGTTAGTGTGAGGGATTACTGAAGAGTCAATGAGTCGATGCAATCAACTGGTTTTCCTTTGAATCAATCTGACTGGATGATCTGGTTGAATCGTAAAGTGCCTTGAGATGACGTGATGTGAATTGATGCTATAGAAATAAACTGAACTGAATTGTAGTTTAATTCACAGCACTAAGAAGTGGCTCCTGGACATGTTTAACCGGCAGGAGTTAAAATGTCCTTTATGTCTCCACATGGTGTGAGAAGCATGTTAACATGAAATAATAGAGGTGCCCTTTAATAAAATGAAAAACCCTTAAAGGGAACATTTCAATAAGATATTTGATGTAAAAATTAAAAATTGTAGAGTTGTAAATGGATTCCTTAAAAACACATATTTATATTAAAACAGTTATTTCTAGTAATTTGAGGAGTCATTTTAAACATCATGGCCTTCTGAACACTATTTTTAAGTACTGATAAAGTAAATTCTGTCTGGTTATGCTGGAAGCCCTGGTTTCTTCAATAGCAGCAATGCTGTATTGTTGGTTCTGGTGCTTCTCATCTTCCAATTTACAAAATGTTTGGGATGCTGAACAAAAAACCTCCAACTCTGATCAATATTTATGTTATTTCATCCATTATTCTTTTTTTTTTTATGGCACTAATGGATCATTTTTAGGGACAGGCCAACAGGAAAGGGGGATCAGAGAGGGGGAGAGACGTATGCACTGGAAAAATGATCTTGAAAAAGGTAAAAATGTCTCAAATTAAGTGTATTTATCCTTAATTTGAGTTGGTAAATAAGAAAGTTTGCCAATGGAGTAAGTATTTTTACTCTTAAAATAAGATAATTAGATAATATACACTTGGAATAAGACAATGCAATTATGTTTTCTTATTTTAAATCCAAATAGTCTTGTTCCATTGGCAAAATTTATCTTTTATCTCCTCAATCCAAGAACAAATGCACTTATTTTAAGAAAAAAATTACTTATCTGGATTTAGATTTTTTCCCGTGTGGGAAAGGACCTCAGGGCGGATTCTAACCCAGGTCGCCTGTGTGCGCTAACCACTGCGCCACCAAAGGATATCAGGATATATTCTTCATGCCTGGCCAGAAAGCTCACTTTGAATATGTTAATTTTGTGAATTTATGAAGCTTTAAAGGTAAATTAGTGAGGATCCAATGACATAGACTGAAATTCCTGATGTTTCCCTTTCCAGCATGTGAGCAGAACAGCATCAAACCAAGTCATTATGGACAGCTGCCTTATTAAGTCTGGCTCCGTCACACTGCGCTGCTTGAACACCTGGACCATTAACCATTAACACTGCTAGAGTTAAAAGGCGAAGGGTCTGTCCAGATGGTCATAGGCTGGAAGGGAGGCCCCAGAAACCCCAGCAGGTGTTGCATTTCCCAGCTGACCATCCCTGTGGCTCAGGGTTCCCCGGAGGAAACACAAAGACCAGAGCTGCCTCAATCAATTACGATAAACATTTATATGTCCTGTTAAATTAGATGTTGGACAAGATTTGTTTTTTTTTGTTTTTGCTTATTTAACAAACTGGTTCAAGAACCACTTCCTCAGTGGTTCAATAAAAACAGTTAACATTCATCAGCTAATATGTACAAAAGGTTGGTAATTGACACCTTACAAAACACAAACAACATCAAGGAAAAATGGGAATTAGAATTAAATGTTATAATTGAAGATTCTATATGGGTGAATATATGCATGTGCTGCCATAGGGGAATTAACAGCCAACTATGGAAAGAATTGGAGTTAAAAGTGAAGATTGGATCCTTTAATACTCCCTTTATCATCTCCTCATTTGTGACAAATATCAGTGTAGCACTATGTTGGTGAAAATTTCACCATGAAATTGTGGATATTGGAGACACCACACACATTTTTTGGGATTGTCCAGTATTCCAAGGATTTTGAGACAATATTTAAAAGGAAATAGAGGGAATATTAAAAGTAAATGTGACTCCTGAACCTGTGGTGTTTTTATTAGGAGCCACATCTAAACAAATGTGATTCTTTTACTGGGAGCAAAGAAAATGATGACCACCAGTGGCGTCATCCCAAGTCATCACACCAGTATATTTATATGAATGCCAACAACAAAAAAAACGGAACCATTTTTTATAAAAACAAAATATAATTCCATATATAGGCTTACTTTTGTATAGGGATGCACGATATAATCGGCCCCCTATCGGTATCGGCCTTAAAACTGAATATCGGACATCGGCCACCCCACCGATATTTAACCCGATATTTGATCAGCTTCTGAGTTTCTAAAGTCTAAAAAAAAAATAAAAATACTACTACTTCTTCCTCAAAAACTTATTTTTTTACAGACTTAAAAACTTCTAAAGAAGAGGGAAAATATATTGATATATTGCCATTTAAAAACACCATATCAATCTCTTTTACTAATGAAATATTGCTATATGTCATCGAAATTTTGCCATATTTTTATATGTTGATATATTGACGGGGTATTGATCTACTTTACTAACAAAATCTCACAAGAATTTGCAAAATATCACGAGAGTTTGTAACAGAACGATGAAATTTCACAAGATTTTGAAAGTAAAATAGATCGATACCGCGTTTTTAAAAATCAATTTGATTTTTTTGTTTTTTTTTTTTTTTTTTTTTTTTTTTTTACAGTGTCCTGTCTGGCAAGGTGGCAATAAGAATAATTGTCTTGATGCCAAAAGGAGCCCAACAGATTTTACTTTCACAAGTGTAGCGGTATCGCAATTGCCATACCGCTCCACTTGTTTCATGTATATAAATTGCTTTATTATAATTATGCAGGGAGTTTTACAGTTCATATGGACACTGCAATGTAAGTAGAGCAGAAAAACAGAAGAAGAAGAAGGAAAAAGAAAAAGAAAAAAACAGGACAAAAGATGAAAGAAAGAGGAGATAGGAAGGAGACAATGACAAAACATTTTCAGTCTGCTTCAACACCTGTAATGAGATGGAGAAAAAAAAAAAAAAAAAAAGAACAGCACAACCAAAAAACATGGTACGAGATATACAATAAAGCAAACACCTTGAAACTATCACTAAAGTAATATTATTAAGTCTGACATGTACTCTGTGTTACCTGAAGATATGAATGTGGGGTTTCTGTTTGGAAGTGAATCTCTAAGTACCTGAAGCCTAGCACCTGTAGTTGTTTGTGAGGGTGAACTTGTGCATGTAAAGTTTTAACCATAGAAAAAAATGCTCAATAGTGGTTGTGGAGAGCCGGAGAGGCACACCCCCCAGAGCACTGAGTCCAGCGCCGGGAGACCCAAAGCCCCAGGCGCCCAAGGGGACCCCAGAAGCGAAGGCACCAAGGCGGGGCCAGCCCCGGAAATCAGACCCCACCAAGGCAGGAGGAGAGACAGCCACGAGGAAGCCCCCCAGCCACCGCCATGCCGGCGCCCCGGGGAGCCGCGGGGACGAGTCCGCGGGCCCCGCCGGCAGCCGGCCACCCCGAAGTAGGGCCGGGCGCCGAACACCAGCCCCCCCACGGCGCCGACCGAAACGCCCCAGCCCCACAGAGCACCGAAACACGCCCCGCCCCCCCGCACCAAGCCCCGGCGACCGGCCGCAACACCCACCGCGACCGCACCACCCAGGAAAACACTAAGACGGCCCCGCCCCCGGCCGGGGCCCATGCGCATCCGCCGCGAACCGGCCACGAGCGACCGATGCCAACAGCGCGCAACGAAACACAAAAAAAAAAAAAAAAAAAATCAATTTGATATCAGCATATGAAAATATATTTGAGTATATTATTTTTCAAAGTGTCAGAAATGGATAACAAAACTGCTATTTTCAGTGACTACTTATTTTTGTCCAGCTTTAACATCAGTATCGATATCGGCCACATGAGTTTTAAAATATCGGCATATCGGATATCGGCCAAAATCCCAATATCGTGCATCCCTACTTTTGTACATAAATCTTGCCCTTCTGAGGCTTAATGAAGATAAATCTGTGTGTTGGTCCAATATTGGGTCACAAACCTAAAACAATTATGTACCAGTTTAATAATGGAGAGGCTATTAGTCAGCTTTTTACTTTTTCAACATATAAAATACTATTTTCTGAGAATGTGTTTATTTATGAGCAGATAAAGCAAATTAACAAACATCTAGAAAAAGTAGACTATATTCTATTATTTTCCATGTGAATCCCAGATTGTTCAGATCAGTTCTAGCTGTCTTTATCCACGCTGAGTCAGATCCTGATGTTTGAAAAAGGGGGCAGGGAAAGCAGGATAAAGCCTTAGCCTCGCTGCATGCAGTTAGCCTAGCCTTGTAGCTAAACCAGGTCCGGGAAAAGGACGTTTCTAGAGCCATTTCTCCCTCTATCTGTCTCTCTCCAATGCATCTCCAACCCCCGCAATTCGACCTGTCAATCACCTGCAAAACATCTGCGCTGTAGCGGGAGGTGGTGAGCAAATACACTTCCTGTCACCTCGGGGCACAGCTCTCCTATACTTCTGTATCGCAGAGGAGTTGCTGCGCATCGACAACTTTTAACGAGAGTCAATGGGCAAATCCGGCGAAAAATGGAATGACCCTTTACTAGTCACTAAAGAATAAATATTTATCTAGCACATTTAAAAAATATATATTGATATATTTCAAAATATTTTACTTTTTTTCCCCCCAAAATATATTTCTTCAAATTTTAACAATTTAAACAAACATCTTGAACAATATACAGAATGTAATCAC